AGTTACTTTAACTTTAGTAAGGAAATATAAAAAAAATCCTGAATTTCTCCTAGTGTAAGAAATGTGTCATTTTTTTCTAGGCATCTCCCCTCCTTCAATAAGTACGAAATTTGACGTATATTACTCACTATAATATCATCATCGCTCAAACAAAGCATAACTTTCCTAGCCTTCAATCTTGTTAGGTTACAGAGTCATCAAATAGCAAATCAGACACGTCTTTCCACACTCACCTGCCACATCCTCTTTTTAGGATTTGTTAATAGTTCTTTCTTACGTTTAATACTATAGTATTTATAACCTATAGAAAGCCAAGGGTTTTATCTATCAAATGACATATTATATTATGTTGTTTTCTGTACTGAAAATTGTCAATTTCACTTTTAGTACAAGCTTCGTTCCCACGGGAGAGATATGGACTAGCTTGGATGAATTTGTAACGGTTCGCCTGCCGGATTAAATTATATTTTAAGAACTCATCGAGGGCCGGATAAAACCACCTCGCAGGCCGTACATTTACACGCGCCTGCCCTAAACACTGCAGAAAAAGTAACCAAAAGTGTTTTTACTCTTTATACTTTCTGTATATATCGATGGAAACTATTCGAAAGATAGTTTATATTTTCATATTTATCATGTTTTAGCTACAAAAATCACGATGCTGTTTAATTTTCAAAGGCTCAATAATTTTTCATGCTATAATGTTTCTGCTTGTCTATATTTGGGACAGACATGCAGTTGATGTTATTTTGTATTTTTGTTTGAATTAAAAAACAGCACCAGAAAAAGTTGTTAAATGTGATGTCACTGATACGAATTTATACTTTTTTTCTTCAACATTAAGATATTCTATGTTTTCAAATTCGATGACGAGGAACCCACTTTGAGACTAATAATGTCTGGAGACGGCTTAAATGGGTAATGAAGAAAAACTTTAATATAAGTTTAACATGACAGCAAATGTACAACGTTTCGACAAGGTTTTGTACCTCCAGCCATTAATATTCTATGTTTGCTCCTGAACTGGATATTACAAAAAAAAAGGCTTTTTTCTTTACCCGTAATGCGGATCACACCGTTGAGAACAATATATTTTCAAAATTAACTGTTGTATTTTAGAGTAAGTATGTTAGTATTGTATGGGTGGTATTTTAATATTTCGCTGCTCCCAAATTTCTTATTGTGTCTATTTAGCTTAACGATTACCACTATTTATTTGTTTGTTTGTTTTGAATTTCGCGCAAAGCTACACGAGGGCTATCTGCGCTAGCCGTCTCTAATTTAGCAGTGTAAGACTAGAGGGAAGGCAGCTAGTCATCACCACCCACCGCCAATTCTTGGGCTACTCTTTTACCAACGAATAGTGGGATTGACCGCCACGTTATAACGCCCCCACGGCTGAAAGGGCGAGCATGTTTGGTGGGACTGGGATTCAAACCCGCGACCCACAGATTGCGAGTCGAGCTCCCTAACCACCTGGCCATGACCACTATTTATACAACTATTTTATGTTAAGCGCGACTTTCCTAAGCAAATGGTGAAAACACAATTCAGCACACTACTTCCAGAAATGGTTTGTCTTATTTGACAAATCCTTCCTCCCTTTTTTCACAATATGAAGTCAGTTTAATAGTAACCTAATATCCTACTTACAATCCAAAAAGATCCTCTGACTACGAGTAGAAATAGGTTTTCTCAGTTTTTATTCAAATATTATTATTTTCCTCAGTTAGGCCTACGACTATTTCAGATCATCACATCCGGAAAATCACACATCAGTGTAAGACAGAAATATAATTATTGTAATACCCTTGTTTAGATTCTAAAGTTCTAATTACTCTTTGTAATATATTTATTTCATGTAACCTGTAGGGTAGGGCTTTTCTGAAAAGTTCGCTTCTTATAAATCATGTTGTAAATTATGTTGATTTGATATTCTGATCATCTATTTATATA